CAGAAGAGGAAGGAGTTGAGATCTGCATTTCCATAAGGGAACTGGACTCAAGCAATTTTCATAGAATCACACTGTCTAAACCAGAGCTCTAAAAATTCACTGCTCCCCCAAAACAACCCTGAATAAAAAGATGATCCACCTTAAGTTAATTTATGAGGTGAAATGTCCATATTTTGTCTACCTTGCCTTTTTTAAAGCTTCAGAACTCTTTCACCTTCTAAAATTTTTCTTTACAATCTCAAAGACTAGCGATGAACTTCTCTGTTGGTTTGTTTAATACGGAATTAAGATCCTTATCTACTTGCATGACCAGGTTTCACAAAAAGGCATTGGACTTAAAAGTGGGACGCTGGTAACATCCAGAGGAGCAGAATTATGCAGATTAATTTCTCCTGCCCACTGATTGATGCCTACATAGCTCATCTTGAGAATGTTTGCTGAGCTCAACCCTGTGTGTGCCACACCGACCACTTTCCCCACAGCTGCTGGAAAAAACGATGCTGAGCTCTAAGGCCATCCTTTTTTTTATACAATGAAGTAGGTTTAACTTTTCATCAACACTCATCATCTTATTCTCTCAGGATTCTCTCTGCACAAAATCTCATCTTAAGATGAAAAAAAAAGAAAAAAGGTCATTTTGTTTTACTGACTTGTCCACTTCAACTGTGCTGCCCCAGTCAAGAGGTCAGGAGAGGAAACAGACACTTCACCATTCAGTCTCAAGCCCGTGTGTTAGCAACAGCCAAATTGTTTTTTATGTTCTGAAAAGAATCATCTCAAACAAAATCTTGGGTTCATCAACAGCAGTTGCAAATCTTTCAAGTCTACTTTCAGCTAAAGTAAAAAGCTTTGATGGGAATAAACCCACTGAAGGAATTAAGACTTTTTAAAAATGTTTATGTTTTGTGTTCTAGTACTTCCTAATTTCATTAATTGTGATTTTCTGTAGTATTTTGTCAGGATGAATGTCCAAATAATGTCAGTTTTTAATATCCTGAATGTTCACACAGGAATGAAGAGTTCACCACACACCTGAGGCAGTTATCTTGTCTCAGCACTGATCAAATACGTGATGCTATCAACCAACTGATTTTCTTTTATAACTAATCTCTCGCCAACTTCAAGAGGGAGAAGAAAAGGAAACGCTATTTAGGAGATTTAATTAATGCAAAGGATTAATATTTAAAAGGGACTTTTTACCAGGGCCTGGAAGTGACAGGACAAGGGACAGCAGTTTTAAACTGGAAGAAATTGAGACTGAACACGAGGAAGACATTTTTACAGTGAGGGTGTCGAGGCACTGGAACAGAGAACTTGGATAATAACAGCCCCTGAAACTGTTCAAGGGAAGGTTGGATGGGGCTTTGAGCAACCTGTCTAATGAAAGATGGTGAAAGATGTTCCTGCCTGTGACAGGCTGGTTGGACTAGATGATCAGCAAAGGTCCCTTCCCACCAAAACAGTTCTATGATTTTATCAATTCACTGTAATTATTTTTTAGCAAATCGGTGAGCCCAAAGAGATTTAATGCAGTGCCTCCTCCAGGAGCTCTGCACTTCAGAGACAGCAGCAGTGCTTCCCTATGCCAGTGAAAAACGTGAAACCACCCACAGGAAAAACCCTCAACCAAAAGCAAGACACAGAAAACAAGACACACTGAGAAAACTTCATTTTTAGAGGGGAGAGATGGCCAGCACTGCAAACCTTACTTATGTGATAATAATATAATGTATTATTAAACAACTGTCCTCCTGAAGATCACTGCTTCCTTCTTCAAGCCTTTTCCCACGTTTTGAGCTCTCCACTGAACAGGCCCATCCCTCAGTGACTGCTCTGCAAGTGCTCTGTAAGAGGACGTGAGATCGCATCTGCTGCAACAAAATATTTATTAGGTCACTCTTCAAAGTGCCAGAAAGGGGGGAAAGAGAGGTCACTGAATGGTGCAGGCTCGCTCCTGAGACATGCAGAACTTGAACTTGGTCACCAGCACACCTCACAGCAACTAACCACTGAGGTACACTGGGGTTTCTTACGTGTCTGCCACGATGAGAAGGAGTCAAAATCTCCCACCTGCTCTGGACACAGCTGACCAGTGAACAGCAATGGGCGTGATAAACAGCAGCTGAGATGCAGAGAAATTCACATTTCTGAGGCAAAATAACGCAATACACCAAGGATGTCGTGCATACAGAAATACCATACATCACTACAAAGCTGGCTGAGCCACAGACTCGACCAATCTGTTATTGTTTCCATATTCCTTGGCAAAGCAGAGGTATGCTAAAACCATTTTCCTCCTACTTAGTCATCTCCTTGTTGGTTTCCAGGTCAACACAGACTTCCAACAAATCACGTCCTACCGAGCAGAAGAAAGCTGTTAGTTTAAAAAGCATTTTTATGACTAGAAGTGAAAATTATTGAAAAAAAGCTTCTCATGCAATGCTGATTCTATATACATAGAGAACATAGTTCCATTCTGCTGCTTTAATGAGCAATCCTAACAACACCTTGAGCACTTTCCAGCCTGAAAAGTACTAATATTTCTTTTTGACTTCTGTATTTCCACTTGTCAATCCCCTTTTCAATCAGTAACAGCAGGCATTACAAAAAGAGGCCCACAGTAGTTAATTTATTACCACAGACAGCAGAGCACATGATGATGTGGTCTTGTTACCAGTTTTAAGGCCAGAAAGGGTTGCTGTCATCAGCTAAACAATCCTTCTGTGGAATGAGGGAGGACTTTTAAAGTTACACCATCTTAAATCAGACCAGAACACTGCTTCCAACATCTGACAATTCAGCAAGCTTCTGGAGAACCTAAAAAGATTTTTATTAAATATACCCAAGTAGAAAGCCATTTTGAAGGTATTTCTGCTCTGGCTTTCTGATGATTTCCCATTTAACCTGCTAGAGTTTGTAATGTTGCTCTCCTAACACAAGTTTCTTTTTGCCTGTTTTTTTGTTTGTTTGGGTTTTGGGGGGTTTGTTGTTTTTTGGGTTTTGGTGTGTGGATATCTTTTTGTGTCCAGGTCCCTTCCCATTGCTTTAACTTCACTGTTTCTGCCTCTCCCATCCTTCAAAACCACTTGTGCTGCCTGAAACTTATTTCAACTGTTCCCAGCTTCTCCTCTTGCTACCCTCACTTTTTATGATACTCCTCTTCATAAAATTAATCCAAGACACTAAAACCTTTGCAGCTTTTCTATTCCTCACTGAATCTGAGCAGACTACAGTTACTGCTGCATATAATAATATACAATTATACACTATATATAATAGAGTAATTTAATTTACCCTCACTAAGACAACATTGGCTTTAGCTTAAAAAGAACCAGTGTTTTTCAAGTCTCCAGAAATCTTTCTGTGTTCCAAATCAACCCCACAACTTCCCTCATTAAGCACTTCTAAAGCTCTTTGGTAGAAGCTACCCAGGCTGGTCAGCTTCTTAATTAAAGCCTGGCCTCACTGGCCACAGATTAACCATTATTGCCTTCCCTGTCGCTATTTGCACAGGAAGATTCTTTTGCCAGTACCTTCAAGATTCCAGAGTGCCACAAGAAACAGATGAAATTCCATCCCTAAAGACAGGGTCTTGTTTCTTGCTGCTTGCCCACGTTTGGAGGCAGCAACTTTGCTATCAGCTGAAATAGTGAGCTCATTTCCATAAACGCTCCATGCAGGAGCACATTAATATACCTGCTGAAAAGAAATAATTGCACACCTGTGTGCAGGAGAATAAAAGGTGTTAAAATGT